TGTTTTCAACTTGTGTATTTATCAAATAAACCGCGTGCCCCCTCCCAGATTTTTCGCACCCTAGTCTGATCAGGTGTTTGCTATTATTTACATACAAAAGCAACGAAGGGACTATTCAACTTCTCGGCACAAATTCAAGCTTATTTTCATTAATAAAATATGGTATGTTGCGTTTTAAAAGATTGTCTAAACAGATTTTCGAAATATCTCATGAGCACGTGAAAGGAAGGCTCTGATTGGTCTTCCTAGGACATCACCGAACGATGTCCTAGAATGACCAATCAGAAGCCAGCTGATGATATCATAGGTCATAATGGCCATAGAGATTATATTAAATAACACTGTTATTTATAATCTCTATGCTAATGTACTTGCTTATTTTCTTTAAAGTCAAAACAAGTCTTTATGTTGCATTTTTCCCAGTTTACATGCACTAATTTAAGTACAATTAGGGCACCGCCATTTAATAATGCCTTTGTTCACTCCCTCATCAATGTCGACCATCATTGACCTATTAATTAGGTGTTAAAGAAATAGGTTATACCTATCTGTGTTGTGTATGATTAATTATCATTATATGTGTGATTATGAACCACCACAAATGTCATATTGCTTGTGAAAATTAATTATTAACCCTAGAAATTATCAACCCCAACAGAGTTGTACTTGCATGTTTTAACATTGCCAGTTGATCTGAGCAGAATTATATCATCTTAATTTTCAGCAGCAGTTCTCAGGCGATATTACCTCTACGGCCAACTGATGATGGATCCATGGTGGTATGTGTCGTACATTCATTACATATATATGTCAATTAATGAATATCAATATCTGTGTCATTTATAATGTTCCCCCAACGAAGTGTTTGAAAAGAGTTAGTTGTATTAATTTCATTATATATACATGTGTCATATATATAAGGCCACCATGCATGTCAAATGTCATATTGCTTGTGAAAAATTGATTATTAACCCTAGAAATTATCAACCCCAACAGAGTTGTACTTGCATGTTTTAACATTGCCAGTTGATCTGAGCAGAAATTATATCATCTTAATTTTCAGCAGCAGTTCTCAGGCGATATTACCTCTACGGCCAACTGATGATGGATCCATGGTGGTATGTGTCGTACATTCATTACATTATATGTCAATTAATGAATATCAATATCTGTGTCATTTATAATGTTCCCCCAACGAAGTGTTTGAAAGAGATTAGTTGTATTAATTATCATTATATATACATGTGTCTATATATAAGGCCACCATGCATGTCAAATGTCATATTGCTTGTGAAAAATTGATTAACCCTAGAAATTATCAACCCCAACAGAGTTGTACTTGCATGTTTTAACATTGCCAGTTGATCTGAGCAGAAATTATTCATCTTAATTTTCAGCAGCAGTTCTCAGGCGATATTACCTCTACGGCCAACTGATGATGGATCCATGGTGGTATGTGTCGTACATTCATTACTATATATGTCAATTAATGAATATCATATCTGTGTCATTTATAATGTTCCCCAACGAAGTGTTTGAAAGAGATTAGTTGTATTAATTATCATTATAATACATGTGTCTATATATAGGCCACCATGCATGTCAATGTCATATTGCTTGTGAAAAATTGATTATTAACCCTAGAAATTATCAACCCCAACAGAGTTGTACTTGCATGTTTTACATTGCCAGTTGATCTGAGCAGAAATTATTCATCTTAATTTTCAGCAGCAGTTCTCAGGCGATATTACCTCTACGGCCAACTGATGATGGATCCATGGTGGTATGTGTCGTACATTCATTACATATATTGTCAATTAATGAATATCAATATCTGTGTCATTTATAATGTTCCCCCAACGAAGTGTTTGAAAAGAGATTAGTTGTATTAATTTCATTTATATACATGTGTCATATATATAAGGCCACCATGCATGTCAAATGTCATATTGCTTGTGAAAAATTGATTATTAACCCTAGAAATTATCAACCCCAACAGAGTTGTACTTGCATGTTTTAACATTGCCAGTTGATCTGAGCAGAAATTATATCATCTTAATTTTCAGCAGCAGTTCTCAGGCGATATTACCTCTACGGCCAACTGATGATGGATCCATGGTGGTATGTGTCGTACATTCATTACATATATGTCAATTAATGAATATCAATATCTGTGTCATTTATAATGTTCCCCCAACGAAGTGTTTGAAAAGAGATTAGTTGTATTAATTATCATTATATATACATGTGTCATATATATAAGGCCACCATGCATGTCAAATGTCATATTGCTTGTGAAAATTGATTATTAACCCTAGAAATTATCAACCCCAACAGAGTTGTACTTGCATGTTTTAACATTGCCAGTTGATCTGAGCAGAAATTATATCATCTTAATTTTCAGCAGCAGTTCTCAGGCGATATTACCTCTACGGCCAACTGATGATGGATCCATGGTGGTATGTGTCGTACATTCATTACATATATATGTCAATTAATGAATATCAATATCTGTGTCATTTATAATGTTCCCCCAACGAAGTGTTTGAAAAGAGATTAGTTGTATTAATTATCATTATTATACATGTGTCATATATATAAGGCCACCATGCATGTCAATGTCATTGCTTGTGAAAAATTGATTATTAACCCTAGAAATTATCAACCCCAACAGAGTTGTACTTGCATGTTTTAACATTGCCAGTTGATCTGAGCAGAAATTATATCATCTTAATTTTCAGCAGCAGTTCTCAGGCGATATTACCTCTACGGCCAACTGATGATGGATCCATGGTGGTATGTGTCGTACATTCATTACATATATATGTCAATTAATGAATATCAATATCTGTGTCATTTATAATGTTCCCCCAACGAAGTGTTTGAAAAGAGATTAGTTGTATTAATTATCATTATATATACATGTGTATATTATAAGGCCACCATGCATGTCAAATGTCATATTGCTTGTGAAAAATTGATTATTAACCCTAGAAATTATCAACCCCAACAGAGTTGTACTTGCATGTTTTAACATTGCCAGTTGATCTGAGCAGAAATTATATCATCTTAATTTTCAGCAGCAGTTCTCAGGCGATATTACCTCTACGGCCAACTGATGATGGATCCATGGTGGTATGTGTCGTACATTCATTACATATATATGTCAATTAATGAATATCAATATCTGTGTCATTTATAATGTTCCCCAACGAAGTGTTTGAAAAGAGATTAGTTGTATTAATTATCATTATATACATGTGTCATATATATAAGGCCACCATGCATGTCAAATGTCATATTGCTTGTGAAAAATTGATTATTAACCCTAAATTATCAACCCCAACAGAGTTGTACTTGCATGTTTTAACATTGCCAGTTGATCTGAGCAGAAATTATATCATCTTAATTTCAGCAGCAGTTCTCAGGCGATATTACCTCTACGGCCAACTGATGATGGATCCATGGTGGTATGTGTCGTACATTCATTACATATATATGTCAATTAATGAATATCAATATCTGTGTCATTTATAATGTTCCCCCAACGAAGTGTTTGAAAAGAGATTAGTTGTATTAATTATCATTATATATACATGTGTCATATATATAAGGCCACCATGCATGTCAAATGTCATATTGCTTGTGAAAAATTGATTATTAACCCTAGAAATTATCAACCCCAACAGAGTTGTACTTGCATGTTTTAACATTGCCAGTTGATCTGAGCAGAAATTATATCATCTTAATTTTCAGCAGCAGTTCTCAGGCGATATTACCTCTACGGCCAACTGATGATGGATCCATGGTGGTATGTGTACATTCATTACATATATATGTCAATTAATGAATATCATATCTGTGTCATTTATAATGTTCCCCCAACGAAGTGTTTGAAAAGAGATTAGTTGTATTAATTATCTTATATATACATGTGTCATATATATAAGGCCACCATGCATGTCAAATGTCATATTGCTTGTGAAAAATTGATTAACCCTAGAAATTATCAACCCCAACAGAGTTGTACTTGCATGTTTTAACATTGCCAGTTGATCTGAGCAGAAATTATATCATCTTAATTTTCAGCAGCAGTTCTCAGGCGATATTACCTCTACGGCCAACTGATGATGGATCCATGGTGGTATGTGTCGTACATTCATTACATATATATGTCAATTATGAATATCAATATCTGTGTCATTTATAATGTTCCCCCAACGAAGTGTTTGAAAAGAGATTAGTTGTATTAATTATCATTATATACATGTGTCATATATTAAGGCCACCATGCATGTCAAATGTCATATTGCTTGTGAAAAATTGATTATTAACCCTAGAAATTATCAACCCCAACAGAGTTGTACTTGCATGTTTTAACATTGCCAGTTGATCTGAGCAGAAATTATATCATCTTAATTTTCAGCAGCAGTTCTCAGGCGATATTACCTCTACGGCCAACTGATGATGGATCCATGGTGGTATGTGTCGTACATTCATTACATATATATGTCAATTAATGAATATCAATATCTGTGTCATTTATAATGTTCCCCCAACGAAGTGTTTGAAAAGAGATTAGTTGTATTAATTATCATTATATATACATGTGTATATATAAGGCCACCATGCATGTCAAATGTCATATTGCTTGTGAAAAATTGATTATTAACCCTAGAAATTATCAACCCCAACAGAGTTGTACTTGCATGTTTTAACATTGCCAGTTGATCTGAGCAGAAATTATATCATCTTAATTTTCAGCAGCAGTTCTCAGGCGATATTACCTCTACGGCCAACTGATGATGGATCCATGGTGGTATGTGTCGTACATTCATTACATATATATGTCAATTAATGAATATCAATATCTGTGTCATTTATAATGTTCCCCCAACGAAGTGTTTGAAAAGAGATTAGTTGTATTAATTATCTTATATACATGTGTCATATATATAAGGCCACCATGCATGTCAAATGTCATATTGCTTGTGAAAAATTGTATTAACCCTAGAATTATCAACCCCAACAGAGTTGTACTTGCATGTTTTAACATTGCCAGTTGATCTGAGCAGAAATTATATCATCTTAATTTTCAGCAGCAGTTCTCAGGCGATATTACCTCTACGGCCAACTGATGATGGATCCATGGTGGTATGTGTCGTACATTCATTACATATATATGTCAATTAATGAATATCAATATCTGTGTCATTTATAATGTTCCCCAACGAAGTGTTTGAAAGAGATTAGTTGTATTAATTATCATTATATATACATGTGTCATATATAAGGCCACCATGCATGTCAAATGTCATATTGCTTGTGAAAAATTGATTATTAACCCTAGAAATTATCAACCCCAACAGAGTTGTACTTGCATGTTTTAACATTGCCAGTTGATCTGAGCAGAAATTTATCATCTTAATTTTCAGCAGCAGTTCTCAGGCGATATTACCTCTACGGCCAACTGATGATGGATCCATGGTGGTATGTGTCGTACATTCATTACTATATATGTCAATTAATGAATATCAATATCTGTGTCATTTATAATGTTCCCCCAACGAAGTGTTTGAAAAGAGATTAGTTGTATTAATTATCATATATATACATGTGTCATATATATAAGGCCACCATGCATGTCAAATGTCATATTGCTTGTGAAAAATTGATTATTAACCCTAGAAATTATCAACCCCAACAGAGTTGTACTTGCATGTTTTAACATTGCCAGTTGATCTGAGCAGAAATTATCATCTTAATTTTCAGCAGCAGTTCTCAGGCGATATTACCTCTACGGCCAACTGATGATGGATCCATGGTGGTATGTGTCGTACATTCATTACATATATATGTCAATTAATGAATATCAATATCTGTGTCATTTATAATGTTCCCCCAACGAAGTGTTTGAAAAGAGATTAGTTGTATTAATTATATTATATATACATGTGTCATATATATAAGGCCACCATGCATGTCAAATGTCATATTGCTTGTGAAAAATTGATTATTAACCCTAAATTATCAACCCCAACAGAGTTGTACTTGCATGTTTTAACATTGCCAGTTGATCTGAGCAGAAATTATATCATCTTAATTTTCAGCAGTTCTCAGGCGATATTACCTCTACGGCCAACTGATGATGGATCCATGGTGGTATGTGTCGTACATTCATTACATATATATGTCAATTAATGAATATCAATATCTGTGTCATTTATAATGTTCCCCCAACGAAGTGTTTGAAAAGAGATTAGTTGTATTAATTATCATTATATATACATGTGTTATATATAAGGCCACCATGCATGTCAAATGTCATATTGCTTGTGAAAATTGATTATTAACCCTAGAAATTATCAACCCCAACAGAGTTGTACTTGCATGTTTTAACATTGCCAGTTGATCTGAGCAGAAATTATATCATCTTAATTTTCAGCAGCAGTTCTCAGGCGATATTACCTCTACGGCCAACTGATGATGGATCCATGGTGGTATGTGTCGTACATTCTTACATATATATGTCAATTAATGAATATCAATATCTGTGTCATTTATAATGTTCCCCCAACGAAGTGTTTGAAAAGAGATTAGTTGTATTAATTATCATTATATATACATGTGTCATATATAAGGCCACCATGCATGTCAAATGTCATATTGCTTGTGAAAAATTGATTATTAACCCTAGAAATTATCAACCCAACAGAGTTGTACTTGCATGTTTTAACATTGCCAGTTGATCTGAGCAGAAATTATATCATCTTAATTTTCAGCAGCAGTTCTCAGGCGATATTACCTCTACGGCCAACTGATGATGGATCCATGGTGGTATGTGTCGTACATTCATTACATATATATGTCAATTAATGAATATCAATATCTGTGTCATTTATAATGTTCCCCCAACGAAGTGTTTGAAAAGAGATTAGTTGTATTAATTATCATTATATATACATGTGTCATATATATAAGGCCACCATGCATGTCAATGTCATATTGCTTGTGAAAAATTGATTATTAACCCTAGAAATTATCAACCCCAACAGAGTTGTACTTGCATGTTTTAACATTGCCAGTTGATCTGAGCAGAAATATCATCTTAATTTTCAGCAGCAGTTCTCAGGCGATATTACCTCTACGGCCAACTGATGATGGATCCATGGTGGTATGTGTCGTACATTCATTACATATATATGTCAATTAATGAATATCAATATCTGTGTCATTTTAATGTTCCCCCAACGAAGTGTTGAAAAGAGATTAGTTGTATTAATTATCATTTATATACATGTGTCATATATATAGGCCACCATGCATGTCAAATGTCATATTGCTTGTGAAAAATTGATTATTAACCCTAGAAATTATCAACCCCAACAGAGTTGTACTTGCATGTTTTAACATTGCCAGTTGATCTGAGCAGAAATTATATCATCTTAATTTTCAGCAGCAGTTCTCAGGCGATATTACCTCTACGGCCAACTGATGATGGATCCATGGTGGTATGTGTCGTACATTCATTACATATATATGTCAATTAATGAATATCAATATCTGTGTCATTTATAATGTTCCCCAACGAAGTGTTTGAAAAGAGATTAGTTGTATTAATTATCATTATATATACATGTGTCTATATATAGGCCACCATGCATTGTCAAATGTCATATTGCTTGTGAAAAATTGATTATTACCCTAGAATTATCAACCCCAACAGAGTTGTACTTGCATGTTTTAACATTGCCAGTTGATCTGAGCAGAAATTATATCATCTTAATTTTCAGCAGCAGTTCTCAGGCGATATTACCTCTACGGCCAACTGATGATGGATCCATGGTGGTATGTGTCGTACATTCATTACATATATATGTCAATTAATGAATATCAATATCTGTGTCATTTATAATGTTCCCCCAACGAAGTGTTTGAAAGAGATTAGTTGTATTAATTATCATTATATATACATGTGTCATATATAAGGCCACCATGCATGTCAAATGTCATATTGCTTGTGAAAAATTAATTATTAACCCTAGAAATTATCAACCCCAACAGAGTTGTACTTGCATGTTTTAACATTGCCAGTTGATCTGAGCAGAAATTATATCATCTTAATTTTCAGCAGCAGTTCTCAGGCGATATTACCTCTACGGCCAACTGATGATGGATCCATGGTGGTATGTGTCGTACATTCATTACATATATATGTCAATTAATGAATATCAATATCTGTGTCATTTATAATGTTCCCCCAACGAAGTGTTTGAAAAGAGATTAGTTGTATTAATTATCATTATATATACATGTGTCATATATATAAGGCCACCATGAATGTCAAATGTCATATTGCTTGTGAAAAATTGATTATTAACCCTAGAAATTATCAAACCCAACAGAGTTGTACTTGCATGTTTTAACATTGCCAGTTGATCTGAGCAGAATTATATCATCTTAATTTTCAGCAGCAGTTCTCAGGCGATATTACCTCTACGGCCAACTGATGATGGATCCATGGTGGTATGTGTCGTACATTCATTACATATATATGTCAATTAATGATATCAATATCTGTGTCATTTATAATGTTCCCCCAACGAAGTGTTTGAAAAGAGATTAGTTTATTAATTATCATTATATATACATGTGTCATTATATAAGGC